AGGATAAAGTATTTCTATTTCTTAAATAAAAGAAAACTAATGGTCTCATCTTTTTGAAAACCTATCTACCATTTTAAAATTTCGCATATTTTGGTTTTTAAAATCAGAACTATTTTTCTGAAAATATTTAAATTATTTTAAAATGGCTTCTAAAATAATTTAATCATTCCTTTTCATTTGTATCTGGTACATCTGAAACTTGCTGAAGGGTTAGTTCTCTAATACACCATAATTATTCTAAATATCATAAAAAGACGTATTCCAAATAATGTGGGTCTGTCTGTATCAGAGTTTCCCTAACTGTGTGATATATTTCCCTTGGGAAGTGGCAGGCAGAATCCATGAGGAGGTGTGAAGAACCCTATTTTTCAAGTATCACTTATACTGTTCATTTGTGTTCATTTTGGAGTTTGGATTTTTAGGGGAAATGTGTATATTGAGATTACACTAAAGCAGTGGTGGCAAACCTATGGCACGGGTGCCAGAGGCGGCACTCAGAGCCCTCTCTGTGGGCACGCGCACCGTCGCCCCAGTCCTATGCCTTCAGCTGGGTTTTATAAAACCTTTTCGCTTTAGGCCTCCATCGCTGTGTACAAAAAAAAAAGGTTCAAACAGTCAAAAAAGATCTTGCAAAGTTGGAATTGATTGATTGAACTTTTTAGTCCCACCCAGTCTGCTGTTACCACCACAGCCACGCCCACCCAATGGGCCACACCCACCCGGCACCTGACGATGCCTAAGTGGGTTTTGGGTTGCAGTTTGGGCACTCGGTCTCTAAAAGGTTCGCCATCACTGCACTAAAGGAAGGTATGATGACAAAAAATTAGGAAACCCTGATGGAATGATGTACTTAGATTCCAACAGTGCAGCTGAAATGCAAACCACTGGGTATTCCCCAGATGATATATCTGGAAATGAGGAATATTCACACAAATATACAGTACATACAAATGACTTCTGTAGAGCTCAGTTAACCTCGTCACATTCTGAATACCCCATTTTAGACAGCAGAGATGAGAAACAGCAGTCATGAACTATGTGTCCTTCCACAATTGAACAATAGGCTTGTAATTCATTATTGGCTCTGGTATTAGAGCTTCTAAAAAGGAGCAGGGTCATTCACAAAAAACTATGATTTAAAGGGGATTGGGACTATCTGAGCTCCATCATCTTCATGATTGAACAGAACTTTGCTGAGGCTCCATTTCAAAAATACCCAAGGCTCAAAAAAGGGAAGCTGGGGTCTTTAATGATTGACTTCCCCCTTAAGGTGGGTACTAGAAGTTGCAAAAAGAATATCAGCAGGCTATATGCAACTTCGACGCTTTCTATACCCCTAAATTAGATTTTATCCATTCTGTCTTTAAGGCACAAAAAAATATACAGAATTATAAGGTTAAGCTGAAAACAGACAAATCTGGAGAAAGTCTATCTATATGGCCACTAAATGTTGACATCAATACACTACTACTGTAACAAATATAAAAAACAAAAATACTATAACAAAAGATAAGTTACAGCATAGACATGTATCTTCTGGTTTTTTTTTTTCTATAGGGGCAGTTTATCATTTGCTAAATTGATGTACAAAGATCTTTGGAGATCTTTCAATGCATGCTTACAATGTGATTTAAGCATAAAACTGATCAACAGTATCAAAGGAAGTTAAAATTAAAAATTAAACCAGGAAGATGTAAAGCCAAAAATCAAATAAAATAGTCCCCACAAGTGAGCAGAAGGAAAGGCTCAGAGAGATACATCTTCACTATCTAACTTATTCTGAAACACAGGAGACTCACTTTGTTTTATTCTGCTTTGTTTCTCCTAAAAAAAAAAGCTGTTCTTCACAGATTTGTTTAGGCACAATCATGGCCAGCAGTAGTCCTAGGCGAACAGTGAAAAGGACAAGAATCTGACAGTGAATGGTGACCTGAATGCACAGCCTCCCCCCCCCCCCAGCCATCTTTTATTAAGCAAGAGAGACAACAAGTATTGAGGCAGACTTAAAAGATTCTGGGATGTGATGACAGCTTCTATTCTGGAGAAGAAAGAAGCAAGGTGATGGGATTTGGGTCCAGACTAAATCTTTAGGGCAGATAAGTCTTCAGTATAAACTGAAAGGCCAGAAATAGAGAGCAGCTCATTTTAGAATAATAAAAAGCTTTTGACTTTATTAGGCTTTTATGGCATCTTTCTTCCCAGAGACATGACGAGTGCACTTGGGTTTCTTCTTTTATGGAATTTGGCTTGCAGCAGCTTGTGACGCCACACCTGAGAGACAGCATCAGTTCTGCACACCAAGGGCACATTTTTGGTTTGGTATTGCCCACCTAGCCCCACCCTACCTTTAAAGATGCACTCTTTAAATCACCCAAGGCAGAACATTGCTGAACTCCTAGTGCACCTCAGAGGCTGCTTTTCATGCTTATCATTTTTTGTCAAGCAACTTTTCTTCAGAGAAACGGGTATTCATAAAATTGATATTTAGCCTCTCCTTCAGACAGTTCCAGACATCAAATCAGAAATACTGCAAAATAACTTGCCATTTTCAAATATATCAATGGAGGTACAGAAAGTGCAGTTGGATCAGGGCCAAATCTCTGAGAATGGTGATTTCAGAGGGTTTTACGGGACCCCAGTGCCACAACTGGATTAGAGGAAAAAGAAAGCCAGAGTCAAAAGCCTTTTACTGATAACACTTTGTGCCAATGTCTCAGATTACTAAACTCAGGAACTGTACATAGAGAGAACCCCAGAACCTTAGTGACATAGACTAGACTACTAATATTTCTGGAGATAGATAATGAGTATATATTAAGCTTAGTTAAGGCCGAATAAAGTTCACAGCACAGGAAAGAAATTTGCCAATGAAGTGGCAGATTGTCTATTTAGACACTAAACTATAGCAATGCCTATGATGAATGTTTTTCACACTGCATTTATTGTTGCCTGATGCCAATTACATCTTCAAATATTGCAATTCATTTCTGAAAATGCAATATAGTGTCCTTAGCATGGCTCTTTAAAATGTAATGATTATAAATAGTATAAGGTTCAGCTAACAGGGCCAGATGGAGATTTCAACTCTCACTATTCATCATCTGGATGCGGCCAATTTACATCAAAGCAACTCATTTTATTAAAGAGGCATCTGATCCCAGAAGTATAACATATTCTTGCTTATGAAGTTCCTGTTTTAAATTATATTACTTCTATGGAATAGTGAGCATTTATATCAGGGGTAGTCAACCTTGACTCTTTTATGACTCGTGGACTTCAACTCCCAGAATTCCTGAGCCAGATAAGCTGGCTCAGGAATTCTGGGAATTGAAGTCCACGAGTCATAAAAGAGCCAAGGTTGACTATCCCCGATTTATATGTTATTTCCATGGGACAGTAAGAACTTAAGGTTTTTCTTTTACCAGCTTAGTGCATTCAATACAAAGCAAGTACTCCTCCTTGTGGCCAACAGCAGCAAGTAGCGAGCACGCACATTTCATTTTGATCAAGTTTGCAATAATCAATGCCTTATTTTAAAGTTACAGCTTGCTGCTCTACCAATTAATATTTTTTTCCTACAATGCTATATTCAGGAAAAGGGGTGATTTCTCTTTCCCTAGAGATATTTTACTATATTTTCCTTAAAAAGTTCATTGACACTTTTTATAACTAGAAATTGGTTATGAGCCATCAAATAATTTTCAACTACTAGTGACCATATAGGCTTTCTCCATGAAGATCTGTCCCTGATCTGTTCTTTCATGTGTCTCAATGGTGCACTCATTGCCACATAACTGAGTCCATCCACCTTACTGCTGCTTCTCTTTCCTTCTACTTTTCCTAGCATTAGAGCTTTTTCAAGACAGTTGGGTCTTTGCATAATGTGTTCGAAGTAGGATAGATTTATGCCCCTAAAGATCAAAAACAGCACCTTGAATTGTGCCTGAAAGACAATTGGTAGCCAATGCAGATCTGCACATTGCGAAGCGACAACTTTGGCTTGATTTGTTCAATCTATCAGTTTGTTTGAAAGGAACCTAAATATAAAAACTTAAGGAAACACCCCCCCCCCAGATATTCAGTTGTGTCTTCTTACACACAAATTTTAAACTTTAAATATGCAATCACAACAAATGAGGAAGCATACAAATTGTATGTTTTATAGGCAATTATTTATTTAAAATTCATTTCTCCCACCAGTACAGCATTAAACACATACATTGAATTAAAAAATAAAAGGTTTCATTTACATTGGTCAAATTATATCAAAAGTATAATTGAACAAAATCTTCAAGTTATGCAAAATTATCAGGATAAAACAGTCATAAGAATATTTTCCTCCAGCCAACTCCAAACACTTCAACTTACAGAATAAATAAGCAATTTTGTTACAAAATTCCTCATCATTTACCATGCAGCAAAATATGTGGCAGAAGAATGTTGATGTACTAGCTGCTCTCAAACATCAGATTGCAAAATTCTACCTAGTCTTTGAGTATCACAAATACTCAATGCCTATATAACCAGTAAACACATGTACAAATAAATGGCACCCACATAATCTGCAAATTCAATCTTTAACATACCTGAACACACTGGTTTGTAGTAGCCTATCTCAGAAAGTCACATTTACACCCCACTGAAATAATGAGACTTCAAATACCTGTGTCTCCCTGTGATCTGTATGAACCATTTCTGTTAAACCCAACCCAAGTGCTGGGTCTGGGCTGTCTATTAGTCTCTATGATCCTCATATTGCAGCATCCCAATCAGTTTTGCAAAAGAGCCACTCCCCAAACACACAGGAAGTTTCCATTCTGTGGGTTAAATGACCACTTTTTCAGAGGTCTTAACTCAGGGGTCTTCAAACTCGGCCCTTTTATGACTCATGGACTTCAACTCCCAGAATTCCTCAGCCAGCGTGCCTGGCTGAGGAATTTTGGGAGTTGAAGTCCATGAGTCATAAAAGGGCCGAGTTTGAAGACCCCTGTCTTAACTAATTCTTTTTCATTTCCTAACAATCCTTTAAGCAAAAAGTGTGAAATCAGAAAGTATGCTATATTTAAACTGAACCTTCCTTCTTGAAAACAGCAAATGTGTATTTATTTTTAAGCAGTACAAAATAAAACTTCCTCATACAAGTTCCTATATTTGGTACAAAACTATCAAGAAACTAAATGGGCCCTCTCATTCATATTTACAATTTCAGTTTGTGGGACTCTTAAAAAACATGGTTTTTGGCAACAAGGAAAAAGCATGCTTTCCAGAAATAATGTGTTTGCTATTTGATTATTAGTTTTTTCCTAAAATTAAGATATTTTCCTAACTTCAAGTCAGTTTCAATGTCGATATTTTAATGAGCCACTTCCATCATATTTTATATGCTGTTTGAAATAATAATTTTAAAAATTATTTTAAACACACATATTTTAAGAGGCGTATTTCATTACTATTATAAAATGGACAGTAGTAGCAGCTCTTAAAGCAAGATTCAAGCATTTTGGAAGGGTGTTCAAGGAAAAAGCTAACCTTCCTTTTCAAAGATGTTCACCACTTTTCCAAAAACCTGAAAGAGATATTATGAAACAATGTTTGTATATAATAGCAATAAGAGCACAAGATACATTGTGAAAAATGAGCATCATATACAGTTGCAAGAAAAAGTATGTGAACCCCTTGGGATAACGTGGAGTTTTGCATGAATTGGCCATAAAATGTGCTCTGAACGTCATCTAAGTCACAACAATAGAAAAACACAGTCTGCTGAAAATAATAATACACAAACATTACATGTTGCCATGGTTTAATTGAACATAACATGTAAACATTCACAGAGCAGGGAGGAAAAAGTATGTGAGCCCCTAGCCTAATGACGTCTCCAAGAGCTAATTGGAGCCAGGAGGGAGC